CACATTACCGAGGGATTTAATTTTTCTCTACTTTATTGAAAATGTATTTATCGAAATTTTTATATTATGTTTTAAATATTTTGTTTTCATTATTTTGTTTTTCTTCACGGGCCAAATTAAATTGCCTAGTGAACCGCTTATTGAGGACAAAGGATATATGTATAATATGCAATGAAATAAAATATATGTTGCACAAGGTACGGTATATTGCATTATCTTTTACTCATTTAAAAAATGAATATTTTTGTCATTCTCTGGATGAGCATTAAGAATTTTATCAAGTTGCCTAAAAATGCTATGTTTGTGGTAGGTCTTTACTGAACTATTTCTTAGCAGATGATGAAAAACAGCCGTTTTAATATATATTAAATATTTATTACATATCATATTCATAGTCACACGTATGGACAATAGAAAATTAAAAGTATGTCTAACAGAATAAATGAAAATGAGATGTAAAGAATTAAATTAGAAGCAAAGCTTTTTAACATGTAACGCTCTTAAATAATAAGATAATTAACTGTTAACAAAAATAAAATAAAAAAATAAAAATAAAAATAACCTTAATTTAAGCCTAAGAAAGTTTTTGAGGAAAATTTATTCCCCACCGGACACCAACCCTGCTATTTTTGAGTCGAGGTTTCGGGGCCTGAATAAAGATTGCTAGAGCAAGTGAATGTTTTACTAGAACTAATTTAATCTTCTAGTTATCTAAATCTAAAACTATCCCCCGCCGGACACCATCCCGGTATCTCTGAGTCTAGCTTTCGGGGCCGAATGATTATTGTTTGCGTGCTGAATCAAATCAGGATAAATAGGCCTAAGTTATTGATGCTTAACTACAGTAAAAATGAAATAATTTCAAATTTGTTCTATATAAAGTCGTCTTTTTCCCCCACACACCACGCCTCCTTTTCCAAACACGTGGTAAATTTCGACAAGTTGCTGCGTTTTTCAGCAACTTCAAAATGACCGCTATCGTCACCAAGAGAACATTCAGGTTACAGCAAACTATAATTAAGACAGCTTTAGGGTGGGTACTACTACATTTAGACGAAGTTGACTGGTTTCTTTGTTGCTTGAAGTCAGATCATTTAATTTTATAAAAAAAGAAAAAGAAAAAGAAAAAAAAAGAGGTTTCGTCAGAGAAAGTAGGCCTACAATTGGCATACAAACGATATTGAGTTGTAAATTATTGGTCCGGCCAAAACCGGACCAGCCGGACCGCTTCCGACGCCCTTGCTGACCTTTTTGGTCGATGCATGCAGACAGGTAAAACTCGTGCGATGATTTCATAACTAGGCTAAGCTACGGCTTAGTAGGCGGAGGCGGAGGCGGCCTCCAGCCTGGACGTAGGCCTACATCCAAATCTGTTCCTGGAGTCTTTAAAATAGGTATTGGATATTCCTATTAAACGTTCAGTTAGTTTTGTTTTGTTGTGAAAATGTACTGAATACTCAGTCCGTGTAAAAACACTTGCAAAATAGAACCCACTGCTTACTTCTTGGGCTCGAATTCAACACTGGCCATCAGGCGCAAGCTCGGTGGTCTAGAGGTATGATGCCAGGCTAGTGATTTGGAGATCGTGGGTTCGAGTTCCACCGGAGAACAACTTGTAAATATTTTTTTGAAGTGTTTTCACACGTATGAGTATTCAGTACATATACACGACAGGTTATATTCAAAATTACACATATAGGCCCTAATTGATTCTCCTGACGCAAATCCAGGTATTATCTATTCCATCACGATAATAACAATTACCATTTAATACCGTAATAATAATAGAACAGTCATCGACTTATTTACAGTGAAGTGAATCTAAAATGTATTCATGAAGCAATGATGATCTGAAGTGTTTAAGAACGTACACAATAATAGTTAAACCAACATTAAAATATCAAACAAAACGTGCGTGCCAATATTGTATTGCTCAAAAATTATGATTTCAAAAAGTAATTTAATGCATCGTACCATACGAAGATAAAAAAAAATAATTACCATTCAACAATAGAACAATCATCGGCCTACTTGCAGTGAAGTGAATTTAAAATGTATTCATGAAGTTATAATGACATGACGTGATTAAAAAAAACATACACAATAGTTGAACCAACATTAAAATACCACAAACGAAAACGTGCGTGACGATATTTTATTGCTTTAGAAATGTGATTTCAAAAAGTATTTTAATGCATCGTATACGTAAGGACTTCCTTTTTGTTGTTTTTTTTTTTTTTTTTTTTACTTAACAGTGTTTGGGAAATAGGATAGGTAAATTGTAATAAATATAATCATAGCCTCTGAAACCTAATTATTGAAGGGTCCTTTAAAACTTTAAATACGATTTTTTAAAGTCATATTTTTAGATCATTAAACCTATTGAACGGGCCCCCAATAGCCCCGGGCTCCAGTGCTGTGCACTGGCTGCACTGCCCATACCTACGCCACTGGACCTGAGTATGTGTTCCATAATGTGCTGGCCCAACGCCCGGTTGTAATAATGCTAAGCGCACAGAGTCTCTACAATCTTATCTATTCCTCCATGCTACAATATACGATTTATAACTCGACAATACACCGAATCGGCGACTCCAGCTATTACTGGTCACGTGACATATAGCGGGTACAAAATGTAAACATACATATCGTAAACCACAGTACGCTTATTGAACACAGTATATTGAGAGTTAAGATGTTTTCAGACAGCGACCCAAAGCAAAGTAAGGCAGTAGGCCTATGTTTTTTTGGTTTTTTTTTAAATTAAATAGTGATTTATAATTACTTTGGCAATCTCCGTGCATTTTATTTAGGCTCTGGAATGCTGCTAGTGTAGTAGGCTACATACAGTTAGGCCTATAGGCTACATACAGTTAGGCCTATAATAGGCCTAGGCTCCACTGGGAGTGTTAAGCCTTGACCAGGGCCCGGAGCAGGGAGGGAATTGCTATGCCTCGACTATATATCTCTGTAGCCGAGTAGGCATATAGGCAATCAAGTAGAAAATAACCCTTAACTGTATTGATTGTTCAACCAAACTTGCATAGTTACCAACCGTCTCGCATCGTGTGGGACGGTCCCGCATTTCAAAGTGATTTTGGATGAAGCACGCATCAGACATGCGTGATCCTAAATTTGTCACGCATTTTAACACAAGTCTATGCGTAATAACGATTTATCACAAATTCAGGGGAAAATTTGTCTAAAATTAGAAGAAATGGTTGTAGTAAAACTATAAAAACGATGATGCAATAACTTGAGTCATAAGAGAGTACAGTATTTCCTTGAAATCCCTACTTATTTCACTAACGAGTTACTAAAAAGTGATCAGTAATATTTTTGCTTATGTAGGGCCTACCTGTATTATCAACAAACACTGCCTGAAATCGTTTTAAAACAGCTTAACAATGCTCAGATCGTCGGAGCGGCGGGGGAAGGGGGTGGTTCCTCTGCCGCTTGGACCCCCCACCTTCTAGCAGTGGCGTAGAAAAATATTTTTTATTGGGGGGAAGATTGGCGTGTTAGCCAGTGTCGTAACAGGCGCGGGGGGGGG